GAACTTGGGCATCCAAATCCCAGAGGCAGGCATGGCCACAAGAGAACAGCAACCATTTCCTTGCAGAATTCCACACACACAAAGCATAACCGCCCCCCAACCAAGAAGCAGCATGCAGGAAAAAAAAATTAAAATCAGGTTTGAACTTGGGCATTCAAATCCCACACAAATCCACAGAAACCCCCAACCAAAAACCCCCCTACAATTTCCCCAATGAAAAAAACCCCATAACCAAAGCCAGACAGACCCAAATTCCGCCTTGCAAAAATCATCACTGTACTGCAATACAGTACAGTACAGATACACTGTAAAACCCACCACCCACCCAGGAGAAGAAATGCAAGCTTACCTTTGAAAGTTCTCCAGCACAGAAAGCACCCACAAGACAGAGCAAAGAGGCAAAGCCAACCTTTGAACTGCATGTGGGAAAGTAAACCCAGGATGCATGGGGAAGGTTTTTTATCCCTTCCCTGCACAGGCGCAATGCATCCTGGGTACAGGCAGTTAGAAGAACAAATTAGCATTGCCAAATAGCCACCTTTCCTGCTCTTTTTTGAAAACATCGTTAAGTGAAACAGGGGACCCAAATCGTTCTGTGAAGCATGGTCCCAAAATCGTTGTGCGAAAATTTATCGTTGTGTGAGGCACTCGTTGTGCGGGGCACCACTGTAGTTGGATGATATTTCAGTTTATTTATTTAAAATATTTTACCCCCACTTTTCTCCTTAAATAACCCAAGGCCGCTATAGCTGCCATCATCCTTGATAACTCACCCTGTGACCTGGTGCTGCTGGAAGTTGCAGCCTAACATTTCTTCTTCGTGGCCTCTGTGAATGCACACAGTTGGGTTTGTTCTGCACCTGCGCAGGATGTCTCGGAAGTTTCTAGAGCTTAAAGACATCTGATTAGTAGGACATTCCCCCATGGAGCACATGCTCTGCCCTCCCAACATCTCTTCCGTTCCTTCTTGCCGCCGCTTCCGTTGAACGTATTTTGGAACGATAGAGCGAGTACTTAAATCTAATCGGCTATTTTCCATCATTTATTTTATATTTTTCAGTAATCTCTTTTGTTAGACATTCCCCTATAAATTAATCTCTTTTTTTCAATTTCCCATTCGCTTTTTCTTTTCTTCCCATGTTCTCCCCCCCCCATCACCGCTTTTCGCTCCCTTTCCCCCCAACCTTTAATGGCTCACCCCAGGGCCTTTCAAGCAGTGCATGCTCTGCACGAACAAGATCCCGCTTACAGACTGTCATGACCGTTGCCTCTTTTGCTTGGGGAAACAACATCAAACACATGCCCTGAGTGCAAAAAGCTCACTTGGCCCACCTTGAAACTATGCCTACAAAGGCTTCGATGTTACCTTTGGGAAAGGTCCCTTAATCCGACCTCCATGGATCTAACAACATCTCCGAATCTGCGAGAAACTCCAGCAGCGGACTCTTACAGGAACTGAGAGGATGTTGGGAGGGTGGAGCATGTGCTCCATGGGGGAACGTCCTACTAATCACATCCTTAAGATCTAGAAACTTCCAAGACATTCTGCGCAGGCGCAGAACAAACCCAATTGTGTGCATTCACAGAGGACTAATCTGATGCCCCAGATAGAGAGGTTACAGGTAGGTTACAGGTAGGTAAGCTCTCTATCTGGGGCATCAGGTAGATCTGGCTTAAAGTAACTATTCCATGATTTCTCCACAAATGTAGCAAATCAACTTTTCCCTTTGGGTAGGAGCTTCCTTTTTCCTATTTCTAGTTCTTTCTTTAATGCAGTGGGCTTTAGTGTTACTATGAAGGGGTGTGTGTCTCTTTTTGTGTCCAAAATCGTCTTGTCTACTTACAGAGTCATAATTCAAACAGCATAGCTTTTGGAGGCAGATTGCTTTAAGAAACCACCATAGACATTATCTGTTGCATATGGAGTTTATTTTATTTATTTCATTTATACCCTGCCTATCAGATCATTGCGACCACTCTAGGTGGCTAGAGTGGTCGTGATTCAGTGTACAACTTATATTGTCTATAGTGATTTCTTGACTTGGGCCAATTTACCTGTAAAAGTAATATGATTTGTATAACTATACAAGAGGATTTCTGTAAGTGCAAAAATATTGCTGTGTTCCATCTTGAGGTTTAACATTAAGTAGGTAATTACTTAGGCGTGCTTCTGACATGCATTATGTTCTGATGAGCTTACATTCTTTGTTAATAACATGAGGTTTTTGCAGCTTCTTAAGGTCTTATAAAGAGTATTAACACAGTTTTCTTAATAGATAAAGTGGTCTGATACTCAAATGTTAAAAGCTGAAGATATTAATGGCATGTGATTTCATCTGATCTTATTTTTTAGGCCTTAGCAAGAATAATGAATGGATTGTTTTATCTTATGTATGTTTGTCAATTCTTGACTGTTAAAAATTTGACTTGTAATTGTTATTGAATAACAATACCTAGAAAAGTTATTGTAGTTGGTAATGTATATTCTTTATGTATTGCTATAGGCTGCTATGGGCATAGCTTTATTATTGAAAAGTGTGCAGCACCACTGATGATTATGATTTATAAGGAAATGTATCTTCTGTTCAGTGAAGTTAAGCCAACTCTCAAGGAAGGGAAGGGAATATCCAGCCTGCAGACCTAATCTGGCCTACACAAAGTCCAACTTTGTGCCACAAGCACTCTGGACACACCCAATCCATGAGGCTATGCAGCTGTACAATTTATGTTCCTAATTGAGAAGATAAGCTGCAGATGGGGGAGGGGGAATGCAGTGGCCTCCAGATATAATCTGTGGATTAGAGATAAAGGTGGAATTACCCCAAATCACTCATGTGAGGGTATTGTGAAAATCCTGCTGGTATTTTCTTGAGCTTAGAAACGGGACTGAGCTTCCCCTAGCTTGTCAAAATTCCCTATTAGAGACACCAGTGGCATTGGGGAAGAATGTTCTTGCTGTCTCTGATCTGAGGGTGAAGATAAAAATGTATTCTCTGTGTGAAGGTAAACATGGACAATTCTGTCCCACTGTCCACATGAGAGGAGACAATAAAATCAAGAAGGGGCATGGATAGATGATGAAAGAAGCAGAGCCTTGAGTGATTCTCTGCCCAGTGGCATCATCTGACCTACTGGCATGGTGGGTGGGTCATTGCAATCTGCCCTGTGTGTATTTATCCAATGCCCAACCTCTGGTGTTGGGGAACTAGGCTTGTCTACAATAGCAGCTTGCTTTGATCTTCTGCAAAACTCTGCCATAGAACAGTTTAAAAGTTATTTCCTTTGGGCTCCCAACTTGTCCCATATGCCAGAGAATCATAGTTTTCCTGTCCCTAGGCTTTTACAGAAGGCAGAAACAATAAATATCTGACTGGTTTTGCAGAAGAACTCTGTTCCCTGCATCTCCCCAGCTCTGTATTGTTTGCTGAATATCTTGTGCAAGGCTGTTTACATTGGTGGCTAAATGGGCAGGCATTTGTGGTTGTGCCCTTAAACTAAAATTTTCCAACCATAATTGCTGTGCTTCTTCTATTCATGGTTTTTAACCTTCTGTGGTGTCGGCTTTTGTAGGTGGCTGGTGGCATGTAGTTCTTAACCTTGACACAACCATTGCTGTCACTCAGAACTTTGCCAGTTGTACAAACTTCCCTGTGGTGTGGCACAAAACAGTAAGGGGAAGGCCAAAATTATCAAGAAAATGGTACAGGTAAGAAATGTGATTTAACAGACGTTGCACAAGGCAAATGTTGTTTCTTAGAACAAGATATGAGGCTGGAGAAATGCTTGACAGGGCTCATTAAACTCAGTATGGGCATGAAGGCAAATGGTGGGCAACCAGAGTCTCCACTCACTGTTTGAGATTCCTAGGTGGGGGACATTTCAGGATAGGAATGACACACAATGGGATACTCTTGTCACATGCATGGGAACAGGCCTTTTTCTCTGTTTGTGATGTCAGGTTTTATGCAAAATGGAAGGAAATGCCAATAGCATATCAAGGTTCTGTTGCTGTTACTGCTACTTTTTTATATACTTCACTGTTTTGTATCCCATCTTACTATTTTAAAATTATGTTTGGTTTTTCTTGTGTAATATCTGCTTAGTAGTTGAGTGGGAAGTGGCTTTTCTGTGTGCCCTATGGGATGAAGAATAGGATATAAATTATACGCCTACCTGTTTATTCCTCAGAATGTATAATGCTTTGACCTGTGTATGTACACCTTAGGTAATAAAATGCTGATGTGGGTTTGTTTTGGTTTTGTCCCTCAAGAGTCCTAAAGCAGGAACATCCTGAATTGGCCGCACTGGCAGATTCTGTTGACCTACAAGAATCAACAGGCATTGCTTCTGACAGTTCCAGTGATTCCTCTAGCTCTTCAAGCTCCAGTTCTTCAGATTCTGATTCAGAGGTAGGAACTTCACAATTTCAGATTTTCATATCCAGATGCCATACAACAGTTACTGTATGTTTTAAGTCACTAGTAGTGGGAAGGGCTTATGGGGTGTGAACATCATACTTCTTCCAGAGTGGCATGTGTTGCCTTCCACTGAAATCATTGAACATTAATAATTTATCATAAGAAATCTGCATTGCCTGTGTCCAATTTATTGATATTTCTTAAATTTCCCAACCCCCTAAAGGGTCAAGAAGTGGGATTTGCAGCACAAAGTTGCAGTCCAGGTTCAGAGTGCAAGTTATATTTATTTTTAAAATGCTCCATTTTGCCTCCTGCACCTGTTTTTCAGTTTTGCTTCTCTCCTCTCCCCAAAGAAAGTCACTATGATTTGGATATTTAGAGGCATCACCCCCATGTTTGTTTGCTAAATTTTCTTTAGTAAACATCTCTTAGTTCTACGAAGCCACAATTTTCCCCTGATACACTCCTTTCTGCATGGGCAGTGCTGTTTTGGCTTCATAACAATTCATATTCTGAGCTGAGGTTGGTATTAAGTATTTATATGTGGTACCAATAAAGATATTCAGGAGCAAATATAATAGTCTAATCACCATTATTCACCAAGAAACTAATATATTTCCAGTTCTAATTGAAATGTGTTTATGAAGTCTGCTTCCATCAGAAGTACAGCAATATTTTAAAATGTCAAAGACTAGCCACATATCACACTTTTTGCAAGCTGTATAAGTTTTGGTACTAGTGTTGTAATTTTTATTCATTCAAGTAAAGTTATCTCACTCACATTAAAAAAAAAACACTGGCCCCACCTCTGGCCACCCAGTTAGCTTTGTCTTGAGATCTTGGTTGAACTGTGTGGCATATGCCCCTTGCTTGACCGTCCTGACACACAGCACACGAAGGCAAACTACTTCTCCTTTTCACCTCGCTGCCACCAGTTGATCACTAAATCAACATTAATTATGGAAGGATGAAGATGCAGGTCCAAACTTCACTGTCTTTTAAATAAAATATTTTTATTGATTACAGATGTTATTATTATTCATAGGTGAATTCTGTTATCATCAATCTCAACCTTCTATTTGTTATTACAGTTCTTATTCACTTTTCACTCTAATCACCTCAGATCTCCCAAATATCACACTCTGTCTCCTTCTCCACTCTCTCACTCTGACTGGCTCCCTCCCTCTCTGACTCCACTTCTTTATTACAGTACATTTCTCTCAGCTCCGCCTCTCAGCAGCCTTAGCCTGAAATATGAATATTCATAACTACTTAACATAATAAGGGTGAACACTACAAACTGGATGTGAAATACTTGGTGAAATGCCTAGCAAATATGTTTTAGTAAGACACCAAAGTATACATTGAAGGCAAGAGCATAATCATCTCTTGATAGCTGACATTGTAGATGTCACTTCTGAATATTTGAGTTTTTCACTGCAAAATGATAATACTGTTGTAGTCATAATTTGTGTTTCCTAATGATGAGAGCTATTGTTTTGATAGGGAAGGTAATTATTATCGCTTCTTGTGTGTCCAGTGTGATTCTAGCTCAGAGACGGAAGGAATGATGCATCGAAGGAAAAAACGGAGAACCTGCACCATGATGGGGAATGGTGATACAACTTCCCACGATGACTGTGTCAGCAAAGAGCGCAGCTCCTCCAGGTGAATGGGCCAATTTACCCACTTTGACCACACAATTGTTGGAATTTAGTAAGATTTGTTGGGTTGGGCTACACTCCTGCTTGCAGGCATGGAGGGAGAACAAGAGAGCTACCTGAAATGCGAAGCTTCCTCCATCTCATATAAGCAAACTGTTTCATGTACTGTACATCTCCTTGCCCATTTCTAATGCTCTAAAACAGAAGGGTTTTTTTCACTTACTAAATTCATTCTCATTTTTCTATCCAACATTTCTGTTCAATCTAGGCAGAATTAAATTGGCAGTGTTCAAGTACAGAAGTGCTGCTCCCTAAAATGGATTCACTTCGTACTTGCAGAGAAGGTAAAAGCACTATGAGGAATGGAGGCAATAGGGAAATAGGATTTAAAGGTGTAATTCTATAATAGAATATTTTCTAACTTAAATTACAATTCTCTTGCCTTGACTAATATATTTTCTGTCTAGTATCTCTTCATAAAGAAGATGGCTTATACACGGAGTTGTGCATTTTATATCTGGGAGGCTTTGGCTGGTAATCTCACCAACAATGGATAATACAGATATATTTTTTAAAAAGACTGGTTGGTTTTGTTTGTTTGGTGAGGGGTGGAATGCCAAGTGAAATCTGACCATCCCAGGTTCTTTTTGCAGATATTGTTAAAAATATTGTAGATCACAGCTTTAAAAGTGGATCTCTGGAGTGCCTTTGACCTACTGTTTTAGAGAGAAGATTTTAATTGGAGCAAACATCTTTAAATGGCCTCTCATCCCTTTTAATTGTGCAGAATGGGGGATTGTTGGTTTCTTTCCTAGCTTTGTATTTCTATATTGTCTTCAGATGACAACATGTTTGGCTTGTTGCTTCTGGCACTGCTTCCTTGCTTGTCCAGCTGTCATACTTTTAAAGTTTAGAAACAGGAAACTACTTCCAGGAAGGTTAGAATGTATCCGTCTTTCTTTGGAAAGTTCTATATTGTCTTCTTGGATAAGCTACAAGAAACTTGCCATGACAGGCAGTTTATTTTTATTTTTGACAGGATTAGGGAATCTTGTGGAAGCCGTGCTCATCCCTGAGAGATAACAAGACCCCATCTAAAGGCAGTCACAGCCAGCCAGATGTCTTCTATTCCTTCCCTCAGCTGTATGCTTGGAGTTTTCTCAAATCTTCACCATTATTCTTTAAACTGTTTGAAATTCAGTCTTCTGCTTACTTCCAAATCTGACTGCTTGTTAACTGAAGGAGAAAACTAGAGATTTCTGTGTATTCAAACCTCTTCTTCTGCACTCCATGAAACAGTTACACTAAACAACGGAAGACAAGGCTGTCCTTTCCAATGTTATGCAGTGTGTCACAACTTCTTAATGTCAACAAAGGAAATACAGTAGAGACTTTATATTAACAGAGTTATCTTAAAAATGAGCAGGTAGAGCATGGAAGCCTATGCCCTGCTTCAATATTGTCTTATGTTTACAAGTTGAGTTCTCATGCACTATTGTTGAAGGTTAGAACTACAGTCTCCACTTCGTGTAACTGGCCAGCAGATCTTCAGTAGAGTACAAGAGGAAAAAGACTAGCCTTGTTATGTTTGTCTGAGGTGATTCTTCTATTGTGTAAATGATCACCTGTAAGCAGCACCTTTTTGTAATACTTGTTGTTAGGTAACAACAAACCAACCATGGACTAATTAGACTTAAGTAAAATGTAACACATCTGAACCAGCAGTTCATCACCATGATTACATGTGCTTTATGTTTTAGTAAGTGAACAAACTTGCTGGTATTTTGTCATCAGTTTGGGAGCCTGATCTGAAAAAAAAGTGAGTATGGGAGAAGTTATAACTGCCTCATTTTCATCTCCCTGTGGGAGTTTCTGGAAATGTTATATGAGGGCAGAAGGTTTTTTTTAAAGTGATAATAAGGAATGGATGGAGTTTGAATAAATAAAATTAAAATTCCTCTTTATATAGAACTGTATTTCTAGGGCATGGAAACATCTTGCTCCAATCTGCTGTTGTAGTATGGCAGGTATTTAAGGTGTCTGATTTTTATTGTTAAGATGTGACTGTGTGTATTCCATAGCAGTGGAATTGATTAAGGATATGTTTCTGTTTCAATGCTTTTCCTTGTTGTTAGTGGAGATGCATATTATGTTAAAAAAACAGGCCTTGTGCCTCCCTATACAACCATAATCCTGTCCTAGCTTTGAAAGTTTACAGGATAGGGAAAGGTCCTGTCCCCAGTAACATTTGAGAATGAGTTGAGTGATTATGTGAATCTGCTTGCATTTTGAGAGGTAACATGAAGGATGTTTTTATTTTGTTAATGCCTAGCAAATAGGTCATGTCCCTTCAGTTTTACCCATACTTTCAATGTGTGCCAAAATACTACCATATCATTGAAGCAGGGATCCAAATAACACTCACCAGCCTTAATTTCATACAAGCACGAAATACATTTTTGGGTGAGCGCTGAGATATTAAAAAGCTGAACTTCCCTTGTGTCCCAATAATACTTTCCCCCAGCTTTGTTCTTAAGCTAGTTTTGTGAAATGGGGTAATCTTTGTAAAATCAGGTAATTTTTGCATTACATTTTTTAAGCATAACTTTGGATTGTACAATTTGTTTTGGAAGGTATTTCTGTGGAACTTGACATCTTCCAGTGTTCTGCAATCTGATACCAGGAATTCAGAACCATGGAGCCAGGTGATGAGCAAAGGTGCCCAGCCATATGACTTGGACTGATAACAGTTGCCACTGCTGCTGGAACACAATAAGTTGCTGGCAGACCACTAGTCCATCTAGTCCAGTATTGTTTTCTCACTGGAAGAGATATTTCCTTGCCCTGTTCTTTTTCTCACCGTGGCTAGGATGCAACATTTCTCTGAGCATTAAAGGTCAGGGAGATGCCTACCCCTGCCCTCATTTCTTTGCTTTGAAAAGCAGCTCATCAGGCTGTGGTCCTGCAGAACAGAATGAGAAATGGCATGGAGTGTTGCAGAAGGGTAACAGAAAAGTAACTTCCTTCAGGGTGGTTTTGTTAGATTTTAATCCTGTTTGCAAATGGGAGGAGTTTTTCAATTTACAGAATCCCATTGTGGATTAGCTCATTGTGTTTCTTGATACTGATGACTTAAACTGGAACATTCTACATGCCATAGTATGATACAGGCTTACATGCTTTCAAATTGAAATTTAGGATCTTGGAGGTATTCCTCTTAAATAATTTTTCTGTAAAAAAAGGCTTAATATATTAAATGCCACATAGTGTGTTTTGTGGGGCCATTGTGCACTAGGTATGCAAGGTACATCTTTACTTGGAAATCTAATGGATGTGTTCATGATCATGAGTTTCATATGCATCAGTTTAGTCATGCATTTATTTAAATATCAAATATTTATTGATTTAATAATCAGTAAGGTGATCTTGAACAAGTGCAGGCTACATTTTCTAGGTGGAATCGATCAGAGGACTCACTGCTGAGTAGGTTGTCCTACCTTTCTCCTCTTAGATAAAAATGGTTTTTAAAAAGAAATGAAAAGTGTCTAGTTTGTGTCAAAAACAACTTGAATCGTGGCATTTCAGGGTAAAATTTGTGATGGCTGTCCTTTTTAGCAGTAGTAGCCACAGGCAACTGGTGCTGGTGGTGCTCAGCTGTAGTTGATGTTGTCATGTCTTTTTAACTATCTTTCTCAATATTGATGAGATGTGCTCATTTATAGAAACTATTTACCTCTGATGTTATTGTAATAGGCAATATTTTTTATTCTAGAACCCCGAATAGGTGAGAAAATAGACCCATTAAACATCATCTTTCTTTGTTTAAAAAAATTGTAGACTTTTTTTCATAAAATTGTGCATTCACACACTTAGGAAAAGCTGTGTCCTGACTCCGGTACTCTTTTAAAAAAGGAGAGATTGGCTAGCTGCTTTTAGCTACAGTGTTATACATCATTTTACCAGATAGTGAATACATTCTTGTCCTGTTCAGTAGAAGCTAGACAGCTGTCATACCAAGGGAAATGGCATTGATTTTATTTAGTATGAAACCTTTCGCATCTGCAACTGCCTAAAAGGAAATAGTCAGATATATAGCAGTTGTACTAAATGGCTTGAAGGGCAAAGCAGGTTCCCAGATATCGTTTCTATTTATCTACAGTTTAGGAATTCGGACCTTGAGTTTTCTGTTTCCCCTTTTATTCAAATGGAGGCAAGTCATCCAATGCCTATGACCAGGATCCAGTGGTATATTTCTGCTTGGTTCCATTGCTTCCACCTGTGGCGTTGAGATGATCCCACTTCTTTCCTGCAACTCCATGGCACCTGAAAAATCTGCTGCAGAAAGCTGGTAAACCTCCCCAAACAGGTTTTCAGTAGTGTGGAGTCTTGCAGGGTAGTTGGGGAAGGGTCCTTGTCTGTGTGAGAGAAGTAGTAATATTTAGCAGAGGTATACTGTGAAATTTTGACCTATTTACTTAGTACTTCCTTTGTGAGCAAGACAGTTATCCATGTCACATAGAGTTCAGAAGCTTCAATATTACTTCCAAAGAATTATTGTTGAAAAATTTACAATTTATCATTCTTTAATCAGTTTTGATTAAAATATCAATGCCATGTTTAGGATAATAACCTAATATTCACATAATGTTTATTGTGTGAATTAGAATTAATTTTAATGTGAATTAATGTTAATTAATTCCTCTTTGAAACCAATACATAGGCTGAAACCCTGATGCTTTGCATAATAAGTTACAGCTAAAGTTGAACTATTTGAATCAGTGGGATATGGTAAGTCAGCTCCTCCATGAGCACCATTGATTCAAATGGGCCTATTCTAGTTGTGTCTTACTTTAGGAGTTGTAACTAGAGTAAGCCCATTTGAATCAGTGGAACTCATGGAGGAGCTGACTCACCAAATCCCCACTGATTCAGTGGGTCTACTCTAATTATTCCTTACTATGCCAAGCAGCAGGATTTTAGCCACTGTGTGCTTTTCTAGTAGGGGTACTATAATAGCAAGCTCCTGCTCTCTAAAAACAGAGTGGCTATTAATCGGTTAATTTGAAAGCCAGATACTTGCATATGGAGTTGAAGGCAAGACTCAGCAGATATCAACCAGCTGGTGTTACACACTAATATTCTGCAAAATGGGTTGTGTAGACTGATATGTCGCCTTCCTAAGCCGTGTGTGTTCAGGTCAAAAGCTAAAGCATGGCTGCTGTAACATTTAAGTGGCAGCTGTTTTGATTAATCTACTTTGTAGGCTTAAGAGCATGTGTATTTTGCAGGTACTCCACTTACGAAAAGATTCACTTTAAGCCTGAGATTTTTTTTCAGAGTCCAGGTTTCTCCTTGGAGGCTTCAGTCAAATGTGTTCCAGTTTATTTTGTGATTGACTTTTAGTAAAGCTGGCACTTTTTGTTTCTCCAGTTCTTAATGATTATGTCATTATGTTGAGGAGATACTATGCCTTCCAGATCTTTATAGCTTCATTTTTCTCTCTTCTGTGGTGCAAAGTTCTTTCTGGACCCCTTAGGGCAACATTCAAAGTGCCAGCTCTGCAAACTACTTGTTAAGTAAGTCCATCCATATGGAGACAGAAATGCTCTGAATTGTTCAATTTTGATTATTATGTTCTCTTTTTTATTTAAAATAAAATATTATTTTCATTACTTTGTATTTTGCCTTCATTGAAATATTGGAGACACGTGTCTTGCACCTTGGGGACTATAGGAAAGCTTTAGTGTCACAGTTTGTAGCATTCTGATAAAAGAGATGTGGCATGAACTTGGAGATTCCTCGTGTTACCATTGCAGCTACCATACTCTTGGCTCAGCGTTCAGCTCCTTGCACTTGTATCCTGTTCATTGCTTTGGGTTTTTGAGGCCTGGCTTTGGATGTTCTGAAATGTGTAGATTGCATGTGCCCTCTTCATTTGCTGTTAAGCTGAAGAGGTTAAAAGTGCAAATGATTTTGTGTTGTTGGGGTCTTTTTGTTTCAAGGTAACACTTTAATTTTGTACTGTACTGTAGTTACTGCTTTTGGGCTTGTGAGCACATTCAGAATTCTGATTATCATAAAATGATTGCCATGAGGAGCATCAGATCACAAAACACCCAATTCACAAAAAGAATTTTGTGAGGCTAAAGCACAAGTGGGAAGCTGAATGGTGTGCTCATGAACCTGAATGGAAAACAGAGATGGAAGCTGACAGTCCCCAACCTCAGTACTTTGAGTGCACAGTTGTCTCTCATACACCTCAAACTCTTTCTTTAAACCCTTCTCCACCTAGCCTGTTCACTTATCATTCACTGCTTTACTTTACAAACACTCTGTCTCTCTCTCACACACACACACACACGCACACGCACACACACCCCTACTTCTAACTTCCCCTCTAACACCAGGCACCAAAATCACTTCCGTTGCTCCCTGCAGCCCTTCCTGTCCCAGCTTTGCTTTCATTCCCATTCTACCGGGCCAGTTCCCTCCCCTCTAGCCCTATTTTTTCCACTGCCACCCATAAGCTTCCCTCCCACAATATGTAGCAGTGGGACTTTTTCTTCCTTTTTCTAATACGTGTGCTTCAGAGCAACCCCTCCAGCAACCTTGGGGCCCAGAAGCATTCAGGAGAAAATATATTTGGAATTTGAAATGCTTTCAGCCACATGAAGAGATTCATGTGGCTGAATCTAATCTAATTTTCTTCTAATTAATGTAGGGCCTGTTTATAGGGCACTCTGAGGATACAAGGAAGTGTCTGTGCTGTAGATGCACAGAGACAGATGAATATCATGTTTCCTATATCTCTCTGGTCATTCGTTGTAGTCTGGATAAGTATGTCTGTGTCTTGGAAGTGTCTTACATGGCAATGTATATATGCTCAACAGAGGCAAAGTATACAACCTTACGTTCTGCTTCAGATTGATGAACTAGAAAATGCAACATTCATATGCAGATATGAATCTCTAGATTTCCCACGTACATTTAAAAATGACTTTAGTAAGTTTCTACCTTGTTCAGTATGTATAATAGGCATTTGAGGCGTTATGCTGCAGACTCTTTAATTTATGTGACTTAAACAGAATTCTGGTCCTTTCTATGTTTTACCATGAGATTCTTCAACAGTGAGCTACTGATCTCAGGATACTACTACAAAAAAGACAATGTTCTGTAATACAGCTGTTCAAGGGTACCCTGATACAATGTGGGCCTGATTTGGTTCACACTGATTTGTCTCCAAGTGAAAATTTGGATCCTCTCCCTAATTTAATGGGGAAATTGAAAAGAGTGATAACTTCAGAGAGAGAGAGTAAGACCTAACCTTACCTAGCAAGAAGTCCAGTGAATTACCAGTTATGGCCTAGTGTTCCATTTGTAAATCTCTGTGCATGTAAGGGTGGTGATCTCATCAGCCACAGACTTCAGTTAAATTAAACATTTCCCATACTCCTTTCACCTCAGATTCTAAGGTTCCCTAGGGATCCCTTTTCAGCTCGAGAAGTTTTGGGGTCTTTGGGCAGGGAGAGTTTTTAATGTCTCAAAATTGCCAGCAGTGGTGATTTTCAGGCAGTAAAATCTGGCTATCCTGAGAACCCCAAAGCTGCTCTTGGTCGAACAGGAGCCTCAGGGAGCGATTGGAAAGTTTTAAAGATTACAGTCTTACGCAAACAGAATTTTAGTCGTGATGTGTGTTGCTCTGTAGTATGGTAGTATCTTTGATTTCTGTATGGTACTTATCTTATGGTACCATACATACTTCTGTATGGTTTAACCAGGAGCTCCGAGCGATGAAAATAAATGCAGTAGAACTACAGATGGACACCCAACATAAACTGACCTAGTGCAAAAATCTGTGCTGACTGGAGGTGGAATACTGAAGAGGATAAGGCAAGTACAATTGCATACTAAAAGTACCACAGATATAACACTGAGACCAACACACAGACTCACGTGAACAACAAATATAAAGAGTAAGGAAAGATGGGATTGGGCAGGAAAGAAATTAGGAGGATTTAAGATTGAATTATGGTATGATAAATAAAAGTGGAGTAACCTCAACCCCCCCCAAAAAAAAGTATTTTGAAAAAATAACCAGTTTGTGCTGATGAAATGTGAACTAAAGAGGAGGAGAAGCAACATTGGGAAGAGAAATGGTGAAAGAGAGTGCATACATGGCAAAAAAGTGAAGGCAAGCAAGACATCATGAATGGGAGAGAGGCAGCTTTCAGATGGGCATGGGGAAAGGCCAAGAGTGGGCATGTGTATAATGCCCACTTGCAGGAGCAAGTGTACAAAACGAGTGTATATGAGAAAGCAGTTGAGTGTGCACTAAGAGTTGGCATGGAAGATTCAGGGGTGTGTGGACAGGTGCCTGTATGCAGACAAGACTAGATGGGAATGTACACGTGCATGTGTAAGAGCAGACAGGCATGTAAGTAAATGGATAAGAGAAAAGATAACTGCAGAGGAAGGTGTGCATACATGTATATGCATGTGAGACTGTGCACAAGAGAGCACAAAAAGGAGAGCGGGTAGACAGGCAAGTGCTTGTGTTCATATGAGAGCCTGAATACAAACATGGGGAAAATGCCAGCCATGAGCAAAGGAATATATGCCCAAGACACTGAGCAAGAGCAGGTAGGGAGGTGCTTATACGAACACAAGGGGGCAGACAGACCTGTGGGGAAGAGACAGTAACGGTAAGTGGATATTTGAGAAACAGCATAAGAACTCATGAGCGTGCAAGTGAAAGTGTGAGAACACATGAGCACGTGACCACACAAAGAGGGTCCACACATGAGAGAAAGCAAGTGGACG